GCTCTAGCTGGTGCTCCCACAAGGTACTAAGTGGTTATTACAAAACACTGGTTGTCTCTTAAAACATCTCCACACAGGTAGAGTGTTAGGAAATTTATTTTCATTTAGTTGGTGTGTTACCAGTGTTGTAACATGAGATATAATTATTCAGGATTTCAAAACATCACTAATATTTATAATCTTTATTATTAAAATTGTTCAGCATAAAAATAAGGAGTGTAACTCCTACTCTTCTCTTTGGTATATATATCGCATACCAAGTAACATACATTTATCACACAACACAATCTTCCAATAATACCTTCTATTAGTGTCACACACTATTGTGACACTACACAATATCAAATGCTAATTACAAAATAGTCATGACCCTATAGTGTTTAGTGTCACATGACACTGCCTTCTTCAGGCCTCGTGACACTTCCTTATCCCCGTGTTATGACACTCCATCTTAGTGTCCCATGACACCGCCTGTTCTCCATGTCTCATGACACTACATGTTCCATGACACACCTTGTCTGTGGTACATCCACAACACTGCCTTTTCTGTGTCATAACACTCTGTCTTTGTACTTCCTTTTCTCCGTGTCATCTGACACTACAACACTCACCGGGTTACATGACACCCTTACATTCTACAACACTTCTGTGTCAGACTCAGTCCTAATATCAAATACAAATTGCATACATACCACGACACTGGACCCACAGGTCACGATCTGCATACGGAGTAACATAAATTTATCACACAACACTATCTTCCAATAATGCTTTCTCTTAGTGTCACATGACACTATTGTGTCATATCATACGACTCTCAGTATGCGGTAACAGTGACCAGTACTGAGGCCAGCATAAGCCTGCGAGGAACTGAAGTCAGCAGTCTGAGGCCCGCAGGTAACAGAAGCCTTCCGAGGAACTGAGGGAGGCCTGCCCCACAGCCACAACATTGGGTGTGATGGTGTTCCCAGTGGTACTGCAGGCCAGCAGGTTAACGATCTAACTGACAGTTTGCTAGGAGGCCGCATCAATGGTCCCAGATTTTTTTAATACTGCACACACCGAGCGTTAAGACCCATTCTATACTGACCAGGCATCTCAGGCCAATCATGCCAAATTTGAAGGCAGGAAAAATAGAACATAGATATACATTTGGAATGCTAGTAGTACAAACGTAGATATACGTTTGGACAGTTTAAGGGTTAAACCAAACATTGGGTCAGAGTTTTGCTTTTCTTATCATGCACCACATTGACCAAGATTTTCTTTTATACCTCGCACACTCACCACACAGACTGATTGTCATATCTAGGCCCAAATTTACCACTCACAGCTTAATTGAGTGAGATGAGCTCAAGATGTAGAGCTAGGCGAGGGACCCCTGGCATCAGTAACATAGATGTACAGTGGACCCTCTGTTATCAGCCATTCCACTTATCGGCCAGCTCAGTTATCGGCCGTTTTTTTGGCTTACGGTTATCAGCCGTAATTTCACTTATCGGCTGTATTGGACACATCATCCCGACAGCCACCACCTGCTCGCACGTTCCTGAGTCAGTGTGACTGTGTCTCTGGGTGAGTGAGGAAGCTTCTGCTCATTCATCCAAGCATTTCGCTATAATCCATTGTTTTCGGTGGTTATTGGTTAAGTGCAACTGCGAAATAAGTAAAGTTCCTTTGGTAGAGAAAGTGAGAAACACTATAGATTTCAAGGCAGGCAGGCAGGCAGGCAGGCAGGCATAGAGGCAAGGAGTGTAGCAGGCATGTAGGGAGTGTAGCAGGCATGCAGGGAGTGTAGCAGGCATGCAGGGAGTGTAGCAGGCATGCAGGGAGTGTAGCAGGCATGCAGGGAGTGTAGCAGGCATGCAGGGAGTGTAGCAGGCATGCAGGAGGTGTAGCAGGCATGCAGGGAGTGTAGCAGGCATGCAGGGAGTGTAGCAGGCATGCAGGGAGTGTAGCAGGCATGCAGGGAGTGTAGCAGGCATGCAGGGAGTGTAGCAGGCATGCAGGGAGTGTAGCAGGCATGCAGGGAGTGTAGCAGGCATGCAGGGAGTGTAGCAGGCATGCAGGGAGTGTAGCAGGCATGCAGGGAGTGTAGCAGGCATGCCGCATTCGTGAGTGAGTCTGGCTGTGTCTCTGGGTGAATGAGCAAGACTCTGCACATTCATCCAAACATTTCATTATAATCCATTGTTTTTTGTGGTTGTTTATTCAGTGCAACTGCAAAATAAGCCACCATGGGCCCAAAGAAACACATTACATAGTATATAAAAACATGCAATGTTTATATGCGATGTATGTTTAACCCTTAACCTTTTCAGGGTTTACGACATACTAGTACGGCTTATGCACCAGGGTTATTGATGTACTAGTACGCCTAAATTCTAGTGCCTTCAAATCTAGCAAGAGAAAGCTGGTAGGCCTACATATGAAAGAATGGGTCTGTGTGGTCAGTGTGCGTAGTATAAAATAATCCTGCAGCACACAGTGTGTAATGAGAAAAAAAAAACTTTGACCATGTTTTTGGTTTAAAACAACGAGTTTGCACTGTATTTTTGTATGGTATTTATGGTTGTATTCTAATTTTCCTGGTCTCATTTTATAGAATGGAAGACATATTACAGAAATTGAGATGATTTTGATTGGTTTCACAATGAAACTTTGAAATTGAGCTCAAAGTAGCAGAAATGTTCAATTTTTGCCAAAGTTCCAAAGTAAACAAATCATGCCACGCATCCAATACACGTCAACTGGTGAGTCTAATATTCTTTCACAAGTGCACTGATATTATTTATACCATTTCTACACTAATGCAGTAGTCTGCATAACAGTAAATCTTCTATTTTTTGTAAGAATAAAAATTCAAAGTGGAAAGCAAAAGAAATGTAAGAGGGGCCTGGGGACGTGACTGATGAACAGAGGAAATGTTATTTTAGTGCCAGGAATGTCTGTCTTGTTTATTCTGGACCCTATTTGGAAATTGGCATCTTTTGAAATTTGTGTGTACCTGGCAAAATTGCTGATTTCTGACCATTTTATTGTATAGTTGAAATCAGTAAATAGGTGGTTTCTTGTACTCATTCGATAGAAAAAACAGAGTTCTAGCAAAATAGTTATGATTTTTGTCGACTAGTACACTGGAATTGGCCGAAAATAGGGCTTAAAGTGGGTGAAATCGCCAATGCGTAAACATCGTCGAGACCGCTAACTTCGTGAGAGCATAATTCTGTAAGTTTTCCATCAAATTTCATACTTTTGGTGTCATTATGATCGGGAAAAGATTCTCTATCTTTTCATTAGATTTTTTTTTTCCGAAAAATTTTTGACCTTGAGAACAAGTTTAGGAGAGGGTCTCTCAACCCTGAAAGGGTTAAACTGTCCAAACATAGATCTATGTTCGCACGTGTAGTGCTCCGAACGTAGAGCTACGTTCAATTTTACATTGTTTCTTATATAAAAAATAACGTAGATCTACATTTGGAGCGCTACGCGTGCAAATGTAGATCTACGTTTGGACAGTTTAAGGGTTAATAATAATCACTCTTGGGCTCATTAAATGTCTTATTTTAGGCTAATATAGACATTTTCATTAATCCATCTATGATATTTTCTTCAAAATTATATAAGAAATACGTTACATAGCATATAGCATATAAACATGCAGTGTTTATATGCTGTCAAGTGGAGAGTCGGGTGGAGAGTAAACATTACGTTTTCTCTGATTCAACGTTAGAGAAAACTGTGAATCTGGCGCATCGCCCAGTAACCGCCCTTCATATGCGTTTGTTTAAAAAATTTTTTTTTATTTTTTTATCTCACTGGCCGATTCCCACCAAGGCAGGGTGGCCCGAAAAAGAAAAACTTTCACCATCATTCACTCCATCACTGTCTTGCCAGAAGGGTGCTTTACACTACAGTTTTTAAACTGCAACATTAACACCCCTCCTTCAGAGTGCAGGCACTGTACTTCCCATCTCCAGGACTCAAGTTCGGCCTGCCGGTTTCCCTGAACCCCTTCATAAATGTTACTTTGCTCACACTCCAACAGCACGTCAAGTATTAAAAACCATTCGTCTCCATTCACTCCTATCAAACACGCTCACGCACGCCTGCTGGAAGTCCAAGCCCCTCGCACACAAAACCTCCTTTACCCCCTCCCTCCAACCTTTCCTAGGCCGACCCCTACCCCGCCTTCCTTCTACTACAGACTGATACACTCTTGAAGTCATTCTGTTTCGCTCCATTCTCTCTACATGTCCGAACCACCTCAACAACCCTTCCTCAGCCCTCTGGACAACAGTTTTGGTAATCCTGCACCTCCTCCTAACTTCCAAACTACAAATTCTCTGCATTATATTCACACCACACATTGCCCTCAGACATGACATCTCCACTGCCTCCAGCCTTCTCCTCGCTGCAACATTCATCACCCATGCTTCACACTCATATAAGAGTGTTGGTAAAACTATACTCTCATACATTCCCCTCTTTGCCTCCAAGGGCAAAGTTCTTTGTCTCCACAGACTCCTAAGTGCACCACTCACCCTTTTCCCCTCATCAATTCTATGATGATTAAAATTCTCAGCATGAATTATTCATTCTCCCTTTGTTTATGATGGCATCTAAAGGTAGTTGTTAGAAATGATTCAACTCAGTGAATATGGTAATAATGTGGCTGTGTTATGTAGCCCAGGGGGGCCTACATATGTGTACTGTACCTACATCTACCACTGCATACACTGACTTCCTTACAAATAAATACTACTCACCTCTCACCCTTCATTAAGACTACAGATATTTTAAGGTAAGTAATGAATGTACTCATTGTTTTATGTATATAAAACTATAGTTAATCTTTAAAAAATCTATTTTTTGCTAATATTTTTGGATGTCTGAAACTGATTAATTGGATTTACGTTAATTCTTATGGGAAATATTTCGGTTTTCGGCCGACCTTCTGGAATGGATTACGGCCGATGACCGAGGTTCCACTGTACATGATGGACAGTGAAAGGGTTAAGGCCAAACCTGGCAACCCTAACAAGCTGGTTGACCAGGGAAGTCTGGCTTCTGGCTTGACTGTGGAGATAGTAGAACCCTTACGAGTTACAGGTAAATTACACAGTCCTAGTGTAAGCCTCCCTGAAGTACTGTATACACTATAGGCTTTTTACAAAAAGAGCATCATTTTGTGCTGTTATAAATCTAAAATACAACTGTAGCTCTGCATCATATGTACTATAATTAGTATAGCCAGTGGGTATCTAAGATTCCAGTTCATACTCGGCCATGTTTAGAAAATTCTGTAGTGAATGCTAAATTGCAGACAAAATTTTGCCTTGTTAAACATATAACAATACTGTAGAGAATGTTCCTTGTTTGCAGGTGGTGAAGCAGAAGGAAATAGCCCACCAGCGAGAGGCTGAAATATTTCAACATATTGATAAACATAATACTAAAAAGGTAAAGGAAATAACTAAAAAGGAGGTGAGTTTATAGTAACTACAGATCATGTAATGATTGTACTGCAAGTCATATACCTTTGTATGAAAGAATGTATTTCACTTAGGGAAATCTTATTTTTTATATTATTTTTAAAGTTATGTACAGTAAACCTTCTCATAAGGCACAATTTATATTCCTGAAAATTGAAGCATAACGTAATAGAGGGTTACTTGAAGTGGAGAACATTAAGTAAAAATAAGTTTATTTTAGGCACATAAATTTCCAAACAAATTTTTTGCTGTTATACTTGGTAAAATTACTACAGTACAATTTGTCTTGTATTCTAGTAGTGCCCTCTTGAAATAAGTGTGCAGAGAGGGTTCATGGAGAGGTGTACTAGGCTGCTGTGTGTGGCTGTGGTTCTTGCATTGATGTAAATGCAGTTTTGTAGGTAGTTGATGATTGTATTGGAGTGTTTTTGTATTCTATAGTGCATCTCTGGTCTGTATTACCTTGCAGTACTTCATAGAGCTGACTATAAGGTATCATTGCTTACTCTTGGTTCCTCTTCAGAACAGTGCTTCAAGATTTGTCAAAATCATCTTTAGTTAAAATTTTTGCAGCTTTGCCAATAACTTGGAATTGTTTATATAGCTCTTATGGTGTTATGTGTCTTGTCCTTAGGTTCTTACATAGGGTCTTCTTTTATCAACCTCTCTCTTAACTGAAAATTGATCTCCTCCAGCAGTGTTTTCTGTAGTTGTTGTGAATTCTTGCATCAACTCTAACAAACGACAACTGAATTGATATGGAGTACCAATATTTCTTTACTTATTGTCATCCCTGAAGGATCCATAATGATTGTCTAACATGGTACAGTGGGTCCTGTACTTCTCCATTACATTTACATCAACACTTTTTATAACCTCTGTAATAATTTATATATATTGTCATGCATGTTTTCAAAGCAGATGCACAAGGAGGCTTTAGAATGGATAGGGGACGTGTAGATCAAGTGTTTACATTGAAGCATATTAGTGAGCAATATTTAGACAAAGGTAAGGAAATTTTCATTGCATTTATGGATTTAGAAAAGGCATATGCTAGAGTGGATAGGGGAGCAATGTGGCAGATGTTACAAGTGTATGGAATAAGTAGTATGTTACTAAACATAAAAAAGAAGGAACACTGCAAGAGGCCTACTGACCCATGGGGAGCAGGCCCCCCCCCCCCCCCCCCGATTAGCCCAATGATCCACCCAGTCTGGTCACCTCCACTCAAGGAAGGAGCACGGCACCAGACCCAGCAGCACAAAGCTAGTCCGGTCTAACTCACACCCACTCATGTATTTATCTAACCTATTTTTAAAACTACACAACGTTTTAGCCTCAATAACTGTACTCGGGAGTTTGTTCCACTCATCCACAACTCTATTACTAAACCAGTGCTTTCCTATATCCTTCCTGAATCTGAATTTTTCCAACTTGAAACCATTGCTGAGAGTCCTGTCTTGGCTGGAAATTTTCAGCACGCTATATACATCTTTATTTATTCCTGTTTTCCATATATACACCTCAATCATATCCCCCCTAATTCTACGCCTTTCGAGAGAGTGCAGATTCAGGGCCCTCAGTCTGTCCTCATAGGGAAGATTTCTGATACATGGGATCATCTTTGTCACCCTCCTCTGTACGTTTTCCAGAGGATTTATGTCCATTCTGTAATACAGTGACCAGAACTGAGCAGCATAGTCTAAATGAGGCCTAACCAAGGATATATAGAGTTGAAGAACAACCTGAGGACTTCTATTATTTATACTTCTAGATATGAAGCCAAGAATTCTGTTAGCTTTATTGCAAACACTAATGCACTGTTGTCTTGGTTTCAGATTACTGCAACCAGAACTCCTAAATCCTTTTCACAATCAGTAATATTAAGATCTACATTATTTAGTTTATATGTCGCATGGTTATTTTCCTGTCCAACATTTACAACTTTGCATTTGTCTATATTAAACTGTATCTGCCACTTCTCCGACCATTGCATCAGTCTATTCAAATCATCCTGGAGTGCTCTAGTGTCCTCATTAGAATGAATTGGACGGCCTATTTTGGTGTCATCAGCAAATTTGCTTATGTCACCATTTATTCCCTCATCTAGGTCGTTTATGTAAATTGTGAAAAACAAAGGGCCCAACACTGACCCCTGAGGAACACCGCTTGTGATGTGCCCCCATTCTGATTTCTCCCCATTTATGCAAACTCTCTGCTGCTTATTTGTCAGCCATGCCTCTACCCAGGAAAAAATTTCTCCTCCTATTCCGTGTGCCTTAAGTTTCCTCAATAGCCTCTGATGTGGAACTCGATTGAAAGCCTTACTGAAGTCCATATACACAATATCATATTCATTTCCATGATCTACCTCCTCAAACACCTTAGTGAAAAATGCTTGTAAATTCATAAGACAGGAACGCCCCTTTGTAAAACCGTGTTGAGATTAATTAATCAATCTGTGCCTATCAAGATGGCTACGAATTGCTTTGGCAGTTATTGATTCCATAAATTTTCCCACTATGGAGGTAAGGCTTATTGGTCTATAGTTCGAAGCCAAGGACCTGTCACCTGCCTTGTAAATAGGTATTAAATTTGCCATTTTCCATTTATCATGCACTATGCCAGTTTGTAGTGATATGTTAAAAAGATTAGCCAAAGGTATGCTAAGTTCCTCTTTACATTCTTTTAACACCCTTGCAAACAGTTCATCAGGGCCTGGGGATTTGTTAGGTTTTAGTTTCTCTATTTGTCTGAGGACCATGTCACTAGTTACCGCAATCGTGCAGTTTATTATCGTCCTGTTCTACAAAATCTATTATTTCAGGAATATCGCTAGTATTTTCCTGGGTGGAAACTGAGAGGAAGTAGGTATTGAGAATTTCACACATATCCTTATCACTGTCAGTGATCTGACCAGAGTTACTCTTAAGTGGGCCAATCTTGTCCCTAATATTACTTCTGTATACCTGAAAGAACCCTTTTGGGTTAGTCTTTGAATCCCTTGCAACCTTAGCATCATGATCCCTTTTTGCTTTTCTTATTCCTTTCTTTCTCTCTTTAATTGAATATATTGATTTCTTAACTGCCCATCCCCTCTTTTGATATGCCTATATATGCCTCTCTTTTGACCAATGAGATGTTTTAATCTATTGTTCATCCATTTGGGATCATTTTTCTTAGATCTAATTTCCCTACTCGGAACAAAAGTTGTCTGGGCAATTAGAACTATGCTCTAAAAAACGTCATATTGGCAACCAAGATCACCTACCTGACCTATAGTCAGGACATCCCAATTTAGCCCACCCAGGTAATTTTTCAGTCCCATGAAGTCGGCCAAGCAAAAATCTGGGACAGAGATTTGATTGCAGTTATCTGGGTAGTTTCATGATATGTTGAAACTAAGTGATTTGTGATCACTTTCCCCAAGCTCATCATTAACCTCTTTTTTCTTTCTTCTTTCAACGTACCAGCCGTATCCCACTGAGGTGGGGTGGCCCAAAAGAAAAAACTGAAGTTTCTCCTTTTAAATTTAGTAATATATACAGGAGAAGGGGTTACTAGCCCCTTGCTCCCGGCATTTTAGTTGCCTCTTACGACACGCATGGCTTACAGAGGAAGAATTCTGTTCCACTTCCCCATGGAGATAAGAGGAAATAAACAAGAACAAGAATTAGAAAGAAAATAGAAGAAAACCCAGAGGGGTGTGTATATATATGCTTGTACATGTATGTGTAGTGTGACCTAAGTGTAAGTAGAAGTAGCAAGACTTACCTGTAATCTTGCATATTTATGAGACAGACAAAAGACACCAGCAATCCTACCATCATGTAAAACGATTACAGGCTTTCGTTTTACACTCACTTGGCAGGACGGTAGTACCTCCCTGGGCAGTTGCTGTCTACCAACCTACTACCTACAATCATTAACCTCAAGATTATTAATTAGTGACTCTGTTGACAAGAACCAAGTCAAACAGGTTGTTTCCTCTAGTTGGTTCTGTCACAGCCTGTTCTAAAAAGCAATCCTGAACCATATCAAGATTTCCTGTCATATTGTTCCAATCAGTTTGTTTAAAGTTATAATCTCCCATTATCACAACATTTTCATATCTAGATGCCTTATGAATTTCGTCCCATAACAGCTTACTGCACTCCCTATCAAGGTTTGGGGGCCTATAAATCACACCCAAAATTAATTTGTCACGACCCTCGAGAAACTGTAGCCAAACAGATTCTGTGTTCAATGTTTCTAATCTTATATCATATATAAGAGAACAATTTAAATTTTCTCTGACATACATCGCCACTCCACCAGCCTTCCTGTTGACCCTATCAGTATGGAATAGTTTTTATCCCTGTATGTTGCATTCAGAAGGCATTTCTCTATCTTTCAGGTTGAACCAGGTCTCTGTTATACCAATAGTATCTATATTACCTACACTTGCAAGTAATCTTAGCTCATCTATCTTATTTCTTAGACTCCTACTATTTGTATAGTAAACCTTAAGGGAGCTAGTCACTCGTTGCCCTCTGCTATCTCTCTTTGTTTGTTGATCAATTGATTTGCCATTACTAGAGACTTTATTTTAAATATTGTCTTTTAAACATATCCCTGAGGTATCCCAGTAATAACTGCTGTTTTTAACCCTAATACTGCAGCCTGATTGTTTCCCACAAACACCCATACCTCTATAATCTATCAGTTTAAATTCCTAGACAAGTCATCATTTACCCTCTCAATCGAATTGGCTAATGCAACCACTCCATCCCCAGAGAGATGAACCCCATCCTTTGCATACATATCACATTTGCCAAAGAACAGGTCCCAGTTATCAATGAATAGGATTGCAAGTTCCTTACAGTACCTGTCTAGCCAGCAATTTATACCAATTGCCCTAGACATTCATTCATTGCCCACTCCCTTTCTAGGCAATATGCTGCATATGACTGGGATCTCTCCCTTAGACCTAACTACTTCTATGGCTGACCT